GGACAGGGAGCAAGTCTATTTGGTTCTTCACTGGATTCTCACTGCTTAGCACAGAGGAGGTGCTCAAGTATTTTTTGCTCCGTCATCTTCCACCTCCTTGCCTGGAACACGTATATGATGGCTGGAGCACTAGCCGTCAACTTAGACCTTCAAAGCTCCCATGAGACACCTTAGAAAATGAAAGCCACGGGCTAAGGATGATGACCAGAGAGCCCGAAGGAGTTCTGGTTTCTGATGAACACGTGGAGCTGAGGTACTAGCCCTGATCCACCCAAATCTGGGCTTTTTTTTACAGGAAAGGAAGTAAACCTCTAGGAATTTTTTGTTTATATCATATATATATACATATATATATATGTATACATATATATACACGCATAAGCACTGACAGGATAATTAAAAAATCAAGTAAGAAGAAATTCTTAAATCACATCCTATCTACATAGTCACTTAACAAGAATCCAAAAGCCTTAGCATTCATGAAAGAAAAACCAAACACCTTCTTCCAGTGGTTATCAGTATTATCAAGCCTTTGGGCCCTCACCCAATGACCCTTCTGCTTTGTACACAAGTCCTACAGGCTATTCATCTTGTGCCACTGCGCTAGGCCTTGGGGCTGGGACCAAAGATTCACGCGCTTCACTCAAAATGTTTTCACTAGCTGGGGATGGCTAATAAGAAAAACTGATAGGGGCGCCTGGGTAGCTCAGTCTGTTAAGTACCTGCCTTCAGCTCAGGTCATGATCTCAGGGTCCTGGGATCAAGCCCGGCAAGCACGGGGCTCCCTGCTCAGCAGGGAGTCTGCTTCTCCCTCTCCCTGTGTCCTTCCCCACAGCTTGTGTTCCCTCCCCACTGCTTGTGTTCTCTCTCGCTATCTGTCTCTCTCAAATACATAAATAAAATCTTTAAAAAAGAAGGAAAAGAAAAACTGATCGTCAGGAAGCGTCTGTTTCTTAGCCCTCACAAATCTATAGGCCCTATCTTGCCTGTTACTTAATGCCATGTAGGATCTGATGTAGAGAAGCCCCAACGCAGGAAGCACAAAGTGCATTAAATAGAACCCCAGTGAAGCAGGAAGCAAATACAAGAGACCGTGACCTTCTTCTCTAGTTGGCCTCCTGTTACTTGCAATGAGGTGGCTAAAAAGGAGATCACAAATAGGAGGCCTGCGCAGGGCAGGAGGGACTTGCAGAACGTAAGGGCAGAAGGCTCCCAAGTTCTGGACACAATACTCACCTCACATGCCTCTCTGGTTGTTCTGGGATCCAGATTACAACCATATTTCTAACATCTTGAGGGCTGGGAAGGTGGGTCTCATTCAAATTCAGCACTGAAAGCTAAGAGAAAGATGTAAAGCCTATATGTGGCTTGAAGGTACCAGTTCCTGATGGTATTCAGAACAGGCTAAGAACTGAATTACCATGGTAATGAAAAGGGTATGCTGGTGCAGAAGATGACAAAAAGACATTTCTCATCCCCAGATTGTCTTCATAACAATGCCCTAAGAAACCAGACACCAGTACAGTACTCTGCAAGAGTGAGCATTTTAAGTGAATAGTCTCCTCTGCCTCCCCCTGTGACATCATTTAGCAACTCCCCACCCCATATCCCCTAGAGGGGAACTTGGGGTTTGCCTAAGGGAATGCACTCATTCTGCCTACTCCACTCCAAACACTTAGATCCCCTGCAGATAACAGAATTTGGGAACTGGGAGGGAATTGGTAGGGACAGAAGCCAGTTTTCTGCTTTTACTGCCTGTCTATAATTAAAGGCATCTACATAAAAGTTAAGATCACAACACTTTTCACGTTCAGACATTTAAGATATTAGAACAGTGGTGCTCAAGGAAACCTTATAAATGATCTAGTCCCTACCCCTGGTAGGATACAGGGAACAAGAAAACAAAAACAAAAACAAAAACTAACAAAAATATTGCTGTGGGGCGCCTGGGTGGCTCAGTCAGTTAAGTGACCGAATCTTGATTTTGGCTCAGGTCATGATCCCAGGGTCCTGGGATTGAGCCCCATTTCGGGCTCCGAGCTCCTGAGCTCAGTAGGAAATCTGCTTGAGATTCTCTCTCTCCCCCTCTGCCCTTCCCCACTGCTTGCGTGCTCACTTCCCCGACCCTAAGAGATAAATAAATTTTTTAAAAAATAGCGTTGTCCTATGAAAAGGAACTGAAGGGCTTGGGGGACTAGGGGAGACTTCTTTGCACCGTAAACCCTTTCATGTTTTTTGAATTTTGAACCATTTGCAAGTACTATCTATTCAAATAATTATCTTAAAACGAATTTAATCTAACCCCTTGTTCTAAAGAGGTCAAAGAGGAGAGTGATTTGTTCATTCATCCATTCAAACACATCTACCCTCTCTCTGTCCCTTATACTCTCCACCATGTGACAGTGAAAGGTAAAGTATCTCTTGAAAAAAATAAAAGGCATCCGTAAGACTGCAAAGAAGAGTAAATCTCTCTTTATGGTAGATAAGTAGAAGGGCTTTTCCTCCTAAACTCTAATTTAGCTCGGCCTCTAACTAGCTATGTGCTTTAGCAAATCACTTCCTTATCTGGGCCTCAGTTTTCTCAACTGTAAGACATAAGAGACAGACCACAGTAATGTTCTTCAATTGCAACTGCAACTAATTCATAGGTCATGGGACCAACTTTTGTGAACTGTAGCCTACATTGCTTAGAAGTAGAATAGAGGGGCGCCTGGGTGGCTCAGGCGGCCCTGCGTCTGACTCTTGATTTTGGCTCAGGTCATGATCTCAGGGTCGTTAGACTGAGCCCCGCATTGGGCTCCTCGCTGAGTGCTGAGTGTGGAGCCTGCTTAGGATTCTTTCCCCCTCTCCCTCTGTCCCTCCCCTGCTCATGCGTGTTCTCTCGGTCTTAAAAAAAAAAAAAAAGTAAAATAGAATAGGACAGAAAATATCAGAGTGCATTACTCATAATTATGGTAAGGATTGTTTTATGCTATTTTGTTGCAAAATGTATTTTTTACTGTAGGTCATAGCAGCTAAAAAGTTGGATAGTCATCAGAATAGATGACCTGAAGGCACATTTTAGGTGTGACAGTCCAGCATTCTAATTTCCCCATATTATGAGATGACAGGGTTTACTTAGTAGCTGAACATGCTCTTTGCAGGATACAGACAGAAAAGTCTTACCATCGATCCCACTGGCGTCTGGGATTTCTGGAGACAGTATAGCACGTAAAGGCTTAGTACAAAGCCCAGCATATACTTAAGGGCCCAATATTAGATAGTTATCATTGTCATTATTCAGATCATGGTCATCCTGAATGGTATACTGAGGCAAGTATTTTATTCCCACTAGTAAAGAGAAAATGCTGAAGAAGTACCTTTTTTAATCTGTGATTTACTTTAGGAGATCTATCAGGATGGTCGATTAAATCTTTGTCAGGTAAATCTTCCCGAGGCCTAAAAAATGAGTTTCCAAACATGACATAGAGATACAAAAGAGCTACGGGGATGGCAGTTAGTGCTCTGAGGAAAAGCCTTCTGCTTATCCACAGAAGACCTGGGGCTTAATACTTACCAAATGAATGTAGGGTGTCCCCATGTCCTTAAGTTGTGTTTCTTTGTTATGGAACAGCTCCCAGACACTGCACACTGTAAACACTCCACAACTCTTTGTTGCATCAAACTGAATTCAGAGCCTATGCCCCTCTCCAACTACAGACAGTTATGTCACTATCAATAAAAGTTGACTGAGTAACCCTTGATGTAGATGTTCAAAGCATGTTAAATAAGCCAAACATAGTATTTACACACAATGGAATATTTTTCAGCCTTAATAAGGGATGCAATTCTGATATATGCTCCAATATTGATGAAACTTGAAGCCATTATGCTAAGTGAAATAAGCTAGCTAAGGGGCGCCTGGGTGGCTCAGTCGTTAAGCGTCTGCCTTCAGCTCAGGTCATGATCCCAGGGTCCTGGGATCGAGCCCCGCATCGGGCTCCCTGATTCGGGGGGAAGCCTGCTTCTCCCTCTCCCACTCCCCTTGCTTGTGTTCCCTCTCTTGCTGTGTCTCTCTCTGTCAAATAAATACATAAATAAATCTTTAAAAAAAAAAAAAAGAAGAAGCTAAACACAAAAGGACAAATTTTGTAGGATTCCACTTATATGAGGTACCTAGAATAGGCAAATTCATACAGACAGAAAGTAGAATAGACATTAACAGGAGCTGGAGGGAGGAGGGAATGGGGAGTTACTGTTCAATGGGTAAGGAGTTCCTGTTTGAGTTGATGAAAAAGTTCTAGAAATGGATGGTGGTGACACAACGCTATGAATGTATTTAATGCCACAGAATTATACACTTAAAAACGATTAAAATGGTAAATTTCACACTATGTATATTTACCACAATAAAAAAAAAGGAATACTGTCCCCTTACATTTTCATATCACTTGTTACTATATTTTTTTAAAAGCCATGTCAAGTGTAGGAATGAATACATATGGCGAAGAAGTATAAGATAAAGACCCAACTCCTGGGCGCCTGGGTGGCTCGGATGGTTGGGCGTCTGCCTTCGGTTCGGGTCATGGTCTCAGGGTCCTGGGATTGGGTCCTGCATCGGGCTCCCTGCTCCTTGGGGGCCTGCTTCTCCCTCTGCCTCTCTCTCTCTCTGTCTTTAATGAATAGATAAATAAAATCTTTAAAAAAAAAAAAAAAAAGAGACCCAACTCCTTAGGCTGATTCACGTGCCATAGGCCACTGCTTTTTACTCCACCTCCCTAGCCTCAGCTCTGACCACTCCCCCATTCCTGCTCTATGTTCCACGCACAATGAGCCCTTCTCCTGACATCGAAAGAACTTCCTCTTGCCTCCAGGCCTTGGCATATGCTCTTTCCGCAGCCCAGAACTCTCCTCGTGGCCACCTCCCATCTGCAACCCCCACTTCGCCAGACTGCTCACACTTCAGTATACAGGTGCAGGTTCCACGTCCACAGAGGACAGTGCCCTGGGTGAGGAACCCTTCCCATGTGCTTCCACACCCCCGCGGGGGCCCTCTCATCAAGCTCATCACACGGGACAGTTCTTGTCCTCCCCAGCAAGGCTGAAAGCCCTTTGGGGGTAAAGACTGTATCTTGTTTACCACTGAATCCCCAGAGCCCAGCAAAGTGGTCCCCACTAAAATACATTTGTGAATTCAATGAGTGACTACACGAATGAGATCATGGTCTTTGCTTTCATAGGACCTGACTGGGAGAAGCTACCTTCTTCCCAAGGTTCAAGTCCTAGAGAACCAGAAAGCAGTCCTACCCTTTCCCATCCTGTCTTTAGCCAAAGGAAACCACCAAAGGCTGCTTTACATCAAACAGGAGAAAAGGAACTGGTACAAGGCCACTAGGCATGCCTTGGTTCCAAACCACAGGAGTTCTAAATGTTACAAGTCTAAGTTTTCTGTAGATCCCACCCAGGCCCTTAGTTTCCCATATCAACAAGCACTAACTGTATGCCTAGGCTTTGTAGGAGATTCAAAAGGAAACCATTGCTTCTGCCTTCGAAAGCTTACAAATAGTTTCATACCTAAAAATAAAGGATAAGAAAGATAGTGTGTGTGGACACAGTGTTCTGACGACCTGCAGAGGCTGATGAGATACCCCCCGTGGTGGGCTGAATTGTGCCCCCCAAATTCTTACACTGAATCCTAACCCTCAATACCTCAGAGTTTGAGTCCCTCAGTATTTGGAGATGGGGTCTTTAAGGAGGTAATTAAGGTAAAATGAAGTCATACAGACAGGCCCTAATCCAATATGACTGGTGTTCTTACTAAAAAGAGGAAATTAAGAGATTAAGAAACACTTATCATGATGAGCAGTGACTAACACAGAGAATGGTTGAATCACTCTATCATATACCTGAAACCAATATAACACTCCGTGTTAACTATCCTGGAATTAAAATTAAAAACTTAAAAAAAAGACGAGGATGGGATGCTTGGGTGGCTCAGTCAGTCAGTTAAGCAGCTGCCTTCAGCTCAGGTCATGATCCCAGGGTCCTGGGATCGAATCCCGTATCGGGCTCCCTGCTCAGTGGAGAGCCTGCTTCTCCTTCTGCCTGCCGCTCCCCCTGCTTATGCTCGTGCTCTCTCTCTCTTTCTCTCTGACAAATAAATAAAATCTTTTTTAAAAAAAAGAAGAAGAGGATGGGATGCCTGGGTGGCTCAGTCAGTTGAGCGTCTGCACTGGGCTCAGGTCATGATCTCGGGGTCCTGGGATTGAGCCCCACATCCACTGGGCTCCCTGCTCAGCGGAGAGTCTGCTTCTCCCTCTGCCCCTCTTCCCACACATGCTTCTCTCTCTCTCTCAAATAAATAAAATCTTTAAAAAAAAAAAAGAGGAAATTAGGACAAAGACACACCGAAGGAAGACCATGTTAAGACATAGGGAGAAAATGGCCACCTACAAGCCAAGAAGAAAGGGTTCAGAAGAAAACAACTCTATCAACACCTTAATCTTGAACTTCTAACCCCTAGACTGTGAAAAAATAAATTTGTGTTGTTTAAGCCACACAGTCGAGGGTACTTTGTTACAGTGACCCTAGCAAACTAATACACCTCTATTTTAGCAACTCCTACAACACAGATAATGCTTTCCTTTTGTTTCCCACTGCCTCGTCACCATTTCCCTAACTGAACTGGTGTTTTAGTTTTAACCCAGCTTTCTCAAAGTCTACTACATGGGTAAAGGAAATCAACCCAGAATTTTGAGATAAGAGGCTAATAATGGAAGATTCCATGATAATTTACCTGCCTTGGAATTTGGAGTCAAGCTTTGAACCTGGACACAGTAAAGAGGGAGGTTTGGTGAAGGTAAATCCTGATAAATGATGATGAGCATGTCTCTTGGCTTGGATGCAGGAATCTGCTATGTTTACAATGGTGAGCACGGGGAGTTTGTCTGAGAAAACAGAACAGAAGAAAACATGTAATCTGTCAAAAGGAGCCAAACAGAAATAGTTCAAGGATCTTGTAAGGAAGAAGCAGGGCTGACTAATTCACCTTCATCATTTGGAGTTGTTTTACAGGGGGAGCCCAGGATTCGAGGGTGGCCCCTCTCAATACGGCGGATCGTGGCCCAGCATTGTGGATGCTGACAAATGGCCAACTTACAGGTGGTTTCATCCCACTGGCTCTCATCTGGTAAGTCCATAGCTACAAATGGTTTAGGACAAAAGCCAATCTTGCAGTTTTCTAGCCCTCTAAAGTAACAAAAAACACACAATTAGAGTGTATTATACATCAGCCATGCAGTCCAGATCTTGATTTGGACTCAAAGCATAAAATATTTCTGTTGAACCCACATACATAAATGATGGTCACAGGATAATTAAGAATTGGGTAACAAGCTACTCAGTCATTAAAAAGAACGAAATCTTGCCATTTGCGACAACGTGGATGGAGCTGGGGGTAGAGCGCAGTGAAATAAGTCAATCAGAGAAAAGACAAATACCATATGATCTCACTCATGTGGAATTTAAGAAACAAAACAAAGGAAAAAAGATACAAGCCAGAAAACAGACCCTCAACTATAGAGAACAAACTGATGGTTACTAGAGGGAAGGTGGGGGGGAGGGGCGTGGAGGGTGAAATAGGTGATGGGGATGAAGAGTGTTCTTATTGTCATGATCACTGAGAAATGTATAAAACTGTTGAATCACTATATTGTACACCTGACACTACTATAACACTATATGTTGACCATATTATAATTAAAATTAAAAAAAAAACTGGATAACAACCAAGTATGAAAACATCTCAGCATGAAGTAGAGTGGCAAGAGTTTTTGGCAGACTAACTTCATAAAGTCTCCTACTTGGCCATTTAGTAGCTGAGTGACCTGGGTCTTAAGCAATCTGAGCTACAGGTTCCCCATCTGCAAAATGAGGATAAGCCTGTTTCACAGGATCATTACAAAGATTAGTTAATGGATATTAAAAGGTCTGGATATTAAAAGGGCGCCCGGGTGGCTCAGTCGGTTAAGCATCTGTCTTTGGCTCAGGTCATGATTTCAGGGTCCTGGGACGGAGCCCCACGTCGGGCTTCCTGCTCAGCGGGGAGTCTGCTTCTCCCTCTGCCTCTACCTTTCCCCCCTGCTTGTGTTCACTCTATCATGCTCTCTCTCTCTCTCAAATAAATAAATATTTTTTAAAAAAGTTCTGGCATATAGTTCAAAATAAGTATTAGCATCCTTTCTTTTTCCCCTTCATTAATCATTAGGGAGAAGACACCATCATCTCTAAAAAGCCTTATCAAATCAGAACTAATATAATCACAGAAGTACTTGAGATGGCTTTAGATGGTTCACACCTTTGGAAAACATGCTTCATTTTGCAATATGCTCCAATTCTCATACAGGCAGCTTAAATACCCACCAGAAATGAATGGGTTTGCTCCAACAGTAGATCAGTAGACTTACAGTTACATCAGAGGCCTCTGGCTTTTCATTTACTGGCTGTACGGTCGTAGGCAAGCGATTTCACGTCTCTCAGCTTGTTTCCTCATATAAAGAGGGGACAGGAAATCCCTAAGTAGGATTGTGGAAGCATTAAGAGAAATAACGTACTTTTATGTATGATACATAATAGGGGCTCAATAAATAGTATTATCTTTCTCTCTCTAGAAATATTTTAGGCAATCACTACCACCTGGTCCTTAACGCGATTATTACAAAGTTGGGAGGGGTGAAAAGATTAAAGGTGGACATTAGGTCCCCTTTTTAAGGACAGTATCCATTTCTTCTTCCTTTTATTCAACACATTTATTGACTACCAAATATGTGACGGGACGTGTTGCAGGCATAGAGAACAGTAATGAACAAAATAAGTCCCTGTTCTAAAGAACTTATAAATTAAACCAAAGATAATGAATTATTGGTATGGCATCGCACCTGCCCTATGACTCGTTTTGTTTGGCCTACACTTTGAGCCACTTTTTTAAGTGGAAATAGTCCACAGTATTCAGATTTATGACTCCTCTTAAAGATCAAAATATCTTTTACATCAACATGGATGGGACTGGAGGAGATTATGCTAAGTGAAATAAGTCAAGCAGAGAAAGTCAATTATCATATGGTTTCACTTATTTGTGGAACATAAGGAATAACATGGAGGACATTAGGAGAAGGAAGGGAAAAATGGGCAGGGGGAATTGGAGGGAGAGATGAACCATGAGAGACTATGGACCTGAGAAACAAACAGGGTTTTAGAGGGGAGGGGGGAGGGGGGATTGGTTAGCCTGGTGATGGGTATTAAGGAGGGCACGTACTGCATGGAGCACTGGGTGTTATACGAAAACAATGGATCGTGGATCACTACATCAAAAACTAATGATGTACTGTATGGTGACTAACATAACATAATAAAATTAAAAAAAAAAATCAAAATATCTGACAACACAGGGGTCCCAATTCCAACTAGACAGCAATTGGATGGAGGGGAGTGTCTCCTGGTATCTTTAAACCAGAACTGTTCTCTCCAAATGGCGAATTCTCTCAACAAACCCTATAATCTCTAACTAATGCAGTTTCAGTTGCCGTTTATCACCGTGTTTGCTGTTGTTTTTCTCCTAATAGGGAAGAATTTCTCTGTACTCATGTCTCTGTCAAAAGCTGGAAAATTGGGATGCCTGGTTGGCTCAGTAGGTAGAACATGTGACTCTTGAACTCTGGTCATGAGCACCAGCCCTACGTTGCCTGTAGAAACTACTCAAAATAAATAATTTTCTTTTTTAAAAAGCAGGAAAATTAAGGGTGACGTGAGACAGCATGTTTCAAGAAAAAAAAGCATTCCTGCTCGCTCAGTGGGATCGAAGACAATTTCTACCTACACAACATGAAAATGATACAACTTAAGAGCCACTGCAAAACCATGCTAAAGCTTTTGACTGCGAAATATGTATGATGCGTAAGTCAATGAACTGAAAAATACAAATACAATTTTAACAGGGTTTGTTTTTTAATGGAATGCAATGTCGCGTTATCCTTACAACCGGCTGCTTGCTGCCTTTTCGTTACCTGACCAGCCCGAATTGAGGCCCGAGAACTACCTGTGCCCATTTCTATGTCCCCAGCGTTAGCGCTGTACTGGCAAAGGAGTTTGAGTTCAACAATTCTAGGGGACAATTATCCTTAATGCAATTATTACAAATTTGGGAGGGGTGAAAAGATTAAAGATGAACATCAGGTCCCGCAGAATTGAAAGAAGATACCCGCTTCGTTCCAGAAGAGGGACGTGGAAGAGTCCGGCCTCGGAGGCCCGCGCTAACAAAGTGCACGCCAAACCGCCAGAAAGCCGAAACCCACTCGGCAAACGTGACCCCTCCGACCGCCTGGGAGAGGAGGCGGGGCACCGCTCCACGTCGGAAGGAGCCCCGCCCCGTCCGCTCAGTCCACGCCTCCGTCTCCCGCGCTAGCCGCCAGGCAGCGCCGTTGCCAGGCAGCGGCGCAGAGCACTGTGGGGAAGGGACGGAAGCTCCAGTGAGCCATACTTGAGCTGATGAGAAGTCTCCAGACATGGTGGCGGCAAGAAGCAGGGAAACGAACCTGGGAAGGGGCGCTGGATCCCGGTGGGGTCGGACGGAAGCCCGGAAGGGCCAAAACCGTAGCGACGTGGAAAGTTCGGATGCTTGGGCGACTCGAGGCGGAGGCGGGGCTGGGTGAAGAGGGAGGCTATGGCGCGCGGGGCACTGTGGGACACAGTGTGGGCAACGTGGGGCGTGACGGAAGCCTTTTTGGGTCAGACTGTGGCGACGCGGGAAGTCCGGACGCCTTGGCGGCCTGAAGAAGAGGCTTGAGACGTAGGCGCGGGCCGCGGCGCCGGCGGCAATGGCGGAGAGGCCCGAGGACTTAAACCTGCCCAATGCCGTCATCACTAGGATCATCAAGGAAGCGGTGAGCAGCTCTGGCTGGCGGATGGGCCAGGGGCGGAAGGGCGGGCAGCGGGGGAACCAGGTCTTGGGCCGGCAGCTTTATTCACCCACGCTCTTTTTACAGCTCCCGGACGGTGTCAACATCTCCAAGGAGGCCCGCAGCGCCATTTCCCGCGCTGCTAGCGTCTTCGTGCTGTACGCCACTTCTTGGTGAGGCGGGCTGAGCTAGCCAGAACTTAGCTGGGACTGGGGCGTGAGGGAGCCGCAAAGAGACCCCCTGGCCTGTAGTCCACAAACCCCAACAATTGTGCCTTATCTCAGTGCGGGGAAGATTCACCCTTATCCAGTTCTTGCAAGGTCTGAAACAAAATAAAACAGCAAAATTACCCTTTGTACAGGGAAGGGAGGGACTTAACACGTCCCAAAAATCCATGCATCTAAGACCTAGGCTTTTCCATACCACCTCTGGTGCCCCTTTTCCATCCCTTACGCGGCAGGAGGGGGTCTGACAGCCCCCTGACGGCCTTTAATCTTTTTCTTTCAGTGCCAACAACTTCGCAATGAAAGGGAAACGCAAGACACTGAATGCCAGTGACGTGCTCTCAGCCATGGAAGAGATGGAGTTCCAGCGGTTCGTTACCCCGTTGAAAGAAGCTTTGGAAGGTAATGACCCTTTCCTTTGTTCAGCCAAGTAGAAGATGTTCACCTGGCCCTGAGTCTTCTCAGCTTGGGTCCCTGTAAGGACAGGAGGTAAGTATTGGATGTGACTCAGAATCAGTCCAGTTGGCACCACCTCAGATCCGATTTGTAATGCTGAGCAGGTTATTTTTCCTTCTCTGCCCCGGCTTTTCTAGTTGTACAGTGGAGTTAGCTGCTGTGGTCTGTTTGGTTCAGCCCTGCCTCCTGACCCCCATCTTCCTCCTTACAGCATATAGGAGAGAGCAGAAAGGCAAGAAGGAAGCTTCAGAGCAAAAGAAGAAGGACAAAGACAAAAAAACAGATGCCGAAGAGCAAGACAAGAGCAGGGATGAGGACAACGATGAAGATGAGGAAAGGCTGGAAGAAGAAGAACAGAATGAAGAGGAGGAAGTGGACAACTAATGGGATGGGAAGACTGGCACCTTGGAAGGTACCACCCTGAAATGTGGTACGTTTGTGAGAAGCTTTTCCCTGCTGGGGCGAGTAGTCTTAGCCAGAAGAGCCTGAGAAGATCAAAATAAAACTGACTAAAATTATCAAAACCAGCGCTTCCGTCAGAGCATCAGCGCAGCAGAATCCCATTTTGCCAGATCAGTCTGAAGGTAATGACTTTTGGCAAGAGGGATTCTGAGTGGCTAATTTGATTAGTCAATTTGATCTCTTTTGTTTACTTATATATATGGTAGGCGGTTTTTGATCCCCAGTTCCCTTCCCACCTATCCCCCCAAAAAGTAATAATGACTTCCATGCTGCCTGCTGTGTTCCAGATCACAGGGGTAGTCAAAGCTCAGGAAAAATTGGGGCTTTGAGCATGGTCAGCCTGTTTTGATTGTACAGGATTTGGCAATACTAGCTTGTTAAAGTGGTCAGAATGTGTTTAGCGTTAGGAAACTAAAAGGTTACAGGAGAAGAATGAAATCTGTTGTCTCTTCACTTGACAGTAACATTAATTGAATTTTGATTTCTCCAGACCCACTTGGCTTGGAGCTCCTCTGTCTTGCTTGGTAGGCATTTGACCTGCTGGCGAGGCTGCGCTCTGGGCACATACGCTTTTGAATCAGCATTGTAGAATGGAATTAGTCAAGCAAGTGTGCCAATAACTCTTACCAAAAAAAAAAAAGATAGTCTTAGATGCACCTCACTGCCTACCACTGTATGGCTTTAGGATTTATGGTCCCTCCTGGAAGGTATAAAATTCCAGGCTTTCTCTTCTTGTAGTCCATTTCCCAGACTTTGACTTTTCGTTTTTCATTCCTCCAATTCATGACAAGTTCCAAACTTTATTTCTTCTAGGCACAACTTTTTCCTTCTGTGCTTTTCCTTTCCTGTCTCTCTTCTGCCTCTCCTCTGTTCCCGATTCCCACTTTCTCTCCCTCCTTTTCTCACATCTGCCAACCCAGGAACTTTGATAACCTGCTTAATGTCCCAAAGTGCAGAAATCTGATGGTGCTCAGGAATCTAATCCCCACTGCAAAAAACCATCCCCTTTAATTGCTTCTGAAGTGACTCTGTGACCTTTCTTCTCAGTTGTTTTTTTTTTTTCCTCTTGATATTTGGTGCTCCAAGCACTTTTTTGTTTGTCTCTAAGTTGAGCGCTTGGAGGTTGACAGGTAGTCAAATGTATGTAGTTTGACACTGTTAATTTGTTAAATGAATACAGTCAAAAGTTTGTTGACAAATGAGTGAAGAGTGTTGAGGAAAATTATGCTTTGTACAAATAAAGAACGTTCTTGTTAAAAGTGATGGCTCCTGTTTCATCCTGCCTTTTTATTGTAGGCTTTTGGGGAGGACCCACTGATCATCCCTGTATATAGTTTTTGGAATGTGGACTGGGCCCGATCTTTGTAACTATGGGATCCTGCGCTGCCGTGGATGACCAGCAGATGCTGCTCTTCAACCACAGCAAGAGCTTTCCATGGCTCTGCAGGGCACCCTATGTGTTACTAGTTGCTCAATGACTCAACATTTATTGAGTTCCTACTATGTGTCTGATACTATTCTAAATGCTTTCAAGCATGAACTCTGAAATCCTATCAAGGAGAACTGCCTTTACCTTCATGATGTCCACCACAATGCTCTGTTACCTCTAATCTACATAACTTTTTCAAATCATGAATTTATAAAGAACATAAAGTTGCAACCCAATAGTCATTAGATCTGGTGGCTTTTTCCTTCTCCACAACAGAAACATCCATTCTTAACTCCCATGAGCACCACTCAGCAAAGCTTTCAAGTCCCATCTGGAGTCCTGTGGTTTCCTGCCACATCTCTGCTTGCCCCAGCTTCCCCTGTGTAGCTTGCCAAGTAAATCTTCCTGGAACGTTGCTATGTTCTAGTCCCTCACTGCTTCCCATCAAATCCATACTTAAACCCGGTATGCAAAACCTGCTTGAGGAGGGCTTGCCTTCCAGTCTGTTTCTACTTCATTGTTAAGTCTCCAGTCAATGAATCCCCAAAAGAACTCTCCCTCCACATGGCTTTAGGTCTTCCCAAACTTTGACTACCTAAGAAAACATGTTTCCTGAGAGTGGGAAGTGTGACTTAAAACTACAGAATTTAAGAGATGCCTGGCTGGTTCAGTTGGTAGAACCTGTGAGTCTTGACCTCGAGGTGGTAAGTTTGAGCCCAACGCTGGGTGTAGAGACTACTTTAAAAAAGAAAAAAAAAAAAAAAACTGGGAAGAATCTGAGGTTATCAACCAATTTTTTCCAAGTACACTTTTATCATTCCTGTAGTGGTATCTGAAGTTTGAAGGTTGCTTACTAGGTTAAGGCAAAAATCTCATCTTTTGTAAGCCACAGCCCTTCATGCCTAGAGATTCTGATCTGGATTTGGAGGGTGGGAAGGTTACCATTTTTACCCACACAAAATTACGTTTGCAGGGGCATCTGGCTGACCCAGTTGGCAAAGCGTGCAACTCTTGATCTCGGAGTTATAAGTTTGAGCCCCACGTTGGGTGTAGAGATTACTTAAAAAAAAATTAGGCACCTGGGTGGCTCAGTTGGTTAAGCGTCCGACTTTGGCTCACGTCATGATCTCTGTCCTCAGATCCAGCCCTGCGTGAGGTTCCCCACTCTGGGGAGTCGGCTTCTCCCTCTCCCTCTGCCCCTCCTCCGCTTATGCACACGCACTCTCAAATAAATAAAATCTTTTTTTTAATTTACTTTTGGGGGCGCCTGGGTGGCTCAGTCATTGGGCATCTGCCTTTGGCTCAGGTCATGATCCCGGGGTCCTGGGATCGAGACCCGTATCGGGCTCCCTGCTCCACGGGAAGCCTGCTTCTCCCTCTCCCACTCCCCCTGCTTGTGTTCCATCCCTCGCTCTGTCTCTCTCTGTCAAATAAATAAATAAAATCTTTAAAAAAAAAATGAGTAAATAAGTAAATAAAAATTACTTCTGCAGCCTAATCCTATTTTTGCTGATGAGAGATTAAGGCTCATCAGAGAAAAGTGACTTACTTGCTCAAGATCTTACCACTAACTTATGAAAGCTAGGGTCCTGTTCTAGTGGCCCATGGCCTTGTTTCTATTTATTTTTTTCTTTAATTGAACTTTTTACTTTGGAACAATTTTAGTTTTCAGAAAAGTTGCAGAGTGCAGAGAGTTCCCATGTAATCACCCAGCTTTCCCTCATTTTGACATCTTACGTAACCACAGTACATTCACCAAAACTGAGAAGAACTACCAAATACCGAACTATTTGTATTTCACCAGTTTTTCTGCTAACACCCTTTTTTGTTCCAGGAGCCATTCCAGAATACCGCATTGCATTCAGTGAACCAATTTTATCTTTTTTTTTTTAATCAGGGTTTTTTTTTTGAAGATTTTATTTATTTGAGGGCGCCTGGGTGGCTCAGTTGGTTGGGCGACTGCCTTCAGCTCAGGTCATAATCCTGGAGGCCCAGGATCTAGTCCTGCATCGGGCTCCCAGCTCAGCAGAGAGTCTGCTTCTCCTGACCCTCCCCCCTTCATGTTCTCTCTCTCTAATAAATAAATAAAATCTTAAAAAAAAAAAAGAGCCCCAAAAGAGTGAAAATTTTAAGAACGCCGCTGTTTGGTGTAATCTGTTTCAAAATCTGTTTCAATCTATTTCAAAAAGATTAAAAAAAAATTTTTTTTAAGAGTGCAAGCAAGCGAGGAGGGGGAGGGGCAGAGGGAGAGGAAGAGAGCGAATCTCCAACAGACTCCCTGTTGAGTGTGGAGCCCAACGCCAGCCCTGAGATCATGACCTGAGCCGAAACCAAGAGTCAGATGCCCAACTGACTGAGCCACCCAAGCGCCCCCCAATTTTATCTTTTAATTGGGATGATATTCATGGAACATAAAATTAACCATTTTTACATGACCAATTCAGGGCATTTAGCACATTGACAATGCTGTACAACCACTACTTCTATCTAGTTCCAAAACGTTTGCATCACCCCAAAATAAAACCCTGTACCTGTCAAGCACTTACTACCCATGCTTCCCTCCCTTCAGCCCCTGGCAACCACTCATCTCTATTTTTATGCACTTCACAGCATTTAGCACAATGCCATATACCTACCTGGGAAGCACTCAAAATAGTTCAGTAGGTTTTTTGGGTTTTGTGGGTTGTTTTGTTTTTTACTTTTTATTAAAGTATAACATACTTACTAAATGGTGCAGATAAATGTAGAGCTTGATGAATTTGCACAAACATCCATGTAACTCACACTCAGATCAATAAACAACATGACCAGCACCTTAAGCCCCTATGGTCTCCCTTCCGGGCACTTCCAATCTTCCCCAATGGTAATCGCTATCCTGACTTCCAACAGCACAAGTGAATTTTGCCTGGTTTGTATTTCATATAAATGAAATCATACGATATGTACTCTTGTGTCTGACTCCTTTTGCTCAACATAATGTTTAAGATTTATTCATATTGTTGCATTCACAATACTTTTTGTGGATAAGATTGAAAGATTAAGGTAAAATTATTTTCAGAAACCTGGGGTAGGGTAGAGAATGGAAACAGGTCTTTCTGCCAAGAATAAGAGAGACGTGAAAAACAGATTACACCAAACAGCAGCATTCTTTTTTTTTTTAAGATTTTATTTATTCTGAGAGAGGGAGTGTGAGCATGAGTGGGGGGAGGAGCAGAGGCAGAGGGAGAAGCAGACTCCCCACTGAACAGGGAGCCCAATGTGGGGCTCGATCCCAGGAACTCAGGATCATGACCTGGGCTGAAGGCAGATGCTTAACCGGCTGAGCCACCCAGGTGCCCCCCAAACAGCAGCATTCTTAAATTTTTCACTCTTTTTGGGCTCTTTGAGGTAGCTCCTAATTATGCTTAGTTACCAATAAACTCAGAGATGGAACAGGTGTCATGAAAGAAATGAGCAGGGACTCTCAACTATGAGCTGAAGGAACCTGACTAGCAGGCGCTGCAGAGAAAGTCCAGTGTGACATGGGGCAAATTATTTAATCTCCCTGGAGATTGTCTTCCCAGTCTGTAAAATGAGGATAGTAACATAGTTGTCATCAAAATTAGATAAGTGAATGCAAAACGCATGGTACTGTCCCTGACTCTTAAATGCACAAAAAATAGGACTTCATTTCCACCATCTCCCTTATTTGACCACAGATCAGAACTCTAGTAGCTGGAAATTACGCAGGTCTTATTTCCCTAGCATGCATTAAACCTCTCTGCCTCTTTAACTTGGAATATAAAGAGGTATAAAACAGGTTTGGAGCACCGATTTTGAGAAATAAAATCTGAGAGGAAGTGTAATACAACCAGCCCACTGGCCTCTTCAGCAAGTCAAAGTCAGCTTTTCTATAATGCCCTGATCCATCTTTATAAAGGCATTCCTTTGCTAGGTTACTGATCTCCATCCCTACTTCACCCATCCAATTCTACTAGCTCACCCAAGCCCCATAAGCCTCACCAGTTCCCTCTGGCCCCTGCACATACTCTGCCCAAACCCCGCACAGACCTTCCAGTCAAATCTCGCACTGTACCCATCCTAGGTCGGTTTGATGCCCCTTTCAGACTTAGAGCTTTTCCGGAGTGCCCATGTCTTTCACATCACATCTCTCAATCCATAACACAGAGCAAGCCCTGAGTAATTACTCTGGAATTAATTTTCTCTGAAAACCTGGAAGGCAGCCTGGTGCTGAACTCAACAGCTTTTAAAATATTCAGTCTGCAAAAACGGACTTAGCTATTGTGTTAGGCGTTAAGGGGTTGTTCTAATGTCCTTGACACCAATTATTCTTTCAACAATTAACCAGAGCCAAGTATGCGCTAGGCTGGGAAGAGGAGGGCGGTAAAGAGAGCCTCGGGGCTGTAACCGCGGGCTGCACCCCGCCCGCACCGCCCCTGCGCCCCGACGTGGGTTCGGGTGGGCCTTCAGCCACCAAAGCTGTGGCCCCCTAGGGGGGTGGGGCGCGGACCCGGCAGCTGTTCCGCACACCCGATTGGCCAGGCCTCGAGGTGCATGGGCGGAGCCGCGGCCGGAGTTGACCAGCACGCGGGCAGAGAGCCCGCAGAGGGCGTGGCTTGCACGCCGGTCGGGGCGGGCTGCAAGGGGGGAGCTGCTTCCGGGTGAGCCGCCCCGCCCCCACGTGGGCCCCGGGAGACTAGAACGCGCTACGGCGGTGGCGGGAGCGGCAGCTGGGAGCCCTTGAGGAAGCAGGTGAGTGGGGGCCGGACTCAGGGAGATGGCGGGCTTGGAGGTGGGGCTGTGACACGAAGAGTCCCTTGTCCCCAGGCCCCAATGTGCCGTGCGCCTGAAGCGCTGGCCGTGCAGCCGGGGACAGAGTCCTTGTGGAGCCCTTGTTTGGACTCTTGGATTGCCCTGCTGCAGCCGGGATTGGGGTCCCCGCGTGGCTGTACCCTTGGAGGCTTGGCTCCGGGCTCTGCCTCTCCTCTCTGGGGTCCACTCCCTTGGAGGCGCCTAGGGCATTCTCCATCGGTACAGAACCCAAAGTGCCTCGAAGGACGGGGGAGGGAAGTGGAGGCAGTAACAGTTGCTTTGTGCTAGACTTAGACATTAAGTCACATCCACTGGCCCATTAAGTCTACAACAACCCTTTGAGGTCGGTTCAAGTCACCATTTACCAGGTGCAGAAACAGATCACACAGCTGGAAAGTGACGGGATTAGGCTTTGAACCCATGTCTGCAGCTCCAAAACCCATGTGCTTAACCGTCAGGCTGCTAAGTGCAGCCAAGTCCAGAGTCAACGTTCTATCTCCTTTCTCCCCCACCCCCTTCATCCAGAATTCTCCACAAGGCCACTGCTGCTGGTAAGTGCAGCTTTGAAATCTGTACTTAAAGTATCGAGGTGGGCACTGAGGTCTGGGCTGCTGAAGACCTGGATTCTAGCCCCAGATCTGCTGCTGACCCCTTGTCTGATCTTGGGCCAGTGTCTCTCTTTCTCTGAGCCCAGTTTCATCATCGTTTCAATTATGTAATCAACAAGCTTGAAGGATCCTCTTAGCCAAGATATTCTAGGAGTCTGTGGAACTGGCAGATTGTCCCTGCAGCTCCAGATGGCTAAACCCAGAAGAGGTTGGGCTCTTCAAAGCCCTACCTAGGTTAAGCAAGGCCTGGGTCTCATGCTTCTCTTTAATCCCTGTATCTAGCACTGGGGCAAGTCCAGGGTAGATATTCAGGAAATGCTGGTTGAATAAACAGGCAGTTAGTTGGTCCCTTTTCAGAACTGCCTGACGTCTGCTATCCTGGGCCCTTCTGGGGCTTTGGATTTCTCAGGCCTGGCCACCTTCCACCTTAGCTGGCCCTCCTGACTGCCTTCTCCCCAGCTGGCAGCTCCCAACCGTCTGTGCCAAGACAACAGCCTCTGAAATCCTCAGCAGAGCACAGCATGG